TATATAATGGGTGGATTGCTACCTGTCATAGGAATGTGGACTTACCCTCACTAGCTCGGTGCCTCTGAGGGAAGTAAGCGTCGATGGGATTTTCTTGAGCTTAGGTACACACTTAAACCCCCCACACTTAAACCCCCACACTTAACCCCCCACACTTGAAACATTTGGCTTGATTCAGTGGGTATAGCATCGGTGTAGCACCTTGTTTTCAGCCTAACAGAAGAATCGCATCGTTGTCGTCTTGTGGTCAGTCACCAGAGGAACAGAGACAACTCCAGAACTTATTCCAGTGGTTTTTAATCTTTCCTGCAGCCTTTGAACCCCAGTTCTCAATAGTTCAACAAAAATTCCAATGTTAATAAATACACAGGGGTTTTGATAAAAACAAAGTAAGTTGTAACTTACATGTCCGTGCTCAATTTGTGTTTTCGATGATTTACCTTCTAAATTAATCTGGCCACGTCTCGCACCCCCAGAAAGGGCATTTCGTACCCCCAGGGAGTTGCGTGCACCCCAGGTGAAGAAGAATAAGAAGAACCACCGCCTTATTCGGACTCGTGATCACACTCAAGTCACCATATGCTCACTTTTGAAAAGTCTGCCTCAGGGAACCATATATGTGCAGTGCCCCACTTCCACGCTATGCGCGGGGCGCCCATTAGCGGACACGAGGACATAAGCTTGGCTAATGGGCGCCATGAATCTAATCTGTAAAAAAACTCGAAAATCCCGTCGTGGGAACAGAAAAATAGTGCACGCCAGAAAATCCCGTTTCGAACAACACGTGTCCCCAAAAGAAAGAAAAAAAATCGCTCAAAATTTTCTGCATCGTGTAACAAAAAAATGAACCCGTAAAAACAATTTTTTTCACTCTAAATCCTTTATATGCGTGGCGGCTAGAGTCCTCTCGTCCTCTGGCTTGAGATGGCTGCCACCTATGGGTCAGATGATTGTCTGCCAGCATTAAGCATTTGGTAATGAAATATTTTTTAAAAAATTCCCTAAACAGTGTCAAATTTTGGGAAAAAAATTTCACGAAAATTAATTGTCACGCACAACGAGTCTGTGTGGAAAATGTCAGCTCGATTGGATCACGGGAAGTGGGTTAAAAAACGACCGAAATATTTGCACGGTCGTAAGCAAGCAAGCAAGCAAGTGAACTTAATATAAAGGATTAAAAAAAAAAAACCCCAACAACAACAGTCCCTGCAAACATCACCAGTTCAATGCACAAAGGTTGAGCGGCACCGCATATCTGCGCGCTGTTGGAAACCATTCGGCCTTCCAGCCCTGTCCTATTGTCACGTTATGATCGCCGCGACGAGTGTTCTCATCGCTTGCCCGCCTTGACCGACGCAGAGCCACCCGAAGACGAAGAGACACGCAAGCGATGGGTTCGCAGGGTGCCCTCGAAGCACCGTTCACACGCACTGATCGTTCGGGCGGAGCAATGGACGCAACGAACGCACGCACGCACGCGCGCGTACTCTTTCGTTCGTTCGTTCGTTGATTTATCGCGCGTGTTTTTAAATCCTTTGTATTAAGTTCACTTGCTCGCTTGCTTGCGCGCTTACGACCGTGCAAATCTTTCTGTCGTTTTTAACCCACTTCCCGTGATCCAATCGAGCTGACATTTTGCACACAGACTCGTTGTGCGTGACAATTTGTTTTCGTGAAAATAAAAAAAAAAATGTTCCACTTTTTAGGAAATAAAAAATTTCATGTTTAATTTAAAATACCAATGTGATAAAAATGAAACTCTTACTCAAGAAAAAACAGAAATGAATAATTAAATGAAAACCGATGCCACGCATATAAAGGAATTATAGTGAAAAACTTTGTTTTTACGGGTATTTTTTTTATAAATACCGTGGCGTGAGCTTCGCGTAAACAAACGTCGTAATTGAACCGCGGCGGCCGCTCCCACGACCGGATGTGGCGGTGGCACCTCACGTACGAGCAATCAACACACCAGGTTTTGAATGTTTTAAAAGGTTTCAAGGGGCAGTGTTCACGGACGCGTTTCGCGAGTTCGCAGGAGAGAAACAGAACGTGCTGTACTTCCTCGTGTGTGGCGCACCCTGGCCCCTACCTTTCGGCTTCCAGCTCTGCATCATAGCGCTGCATTTGATTAAACAAGTTAAACGTCGGGATTTATTTACGCGCTTCACGGAATGCTTAATCACAATTCCATTCATCAGCTGTGTCCCATGTCAGCTCATGTTTGTCGACGAGACGAGCGCTTTATTCTTGTTAACATTCTCCATTGACATTGTTTCTGGCCAGCCGCCTAACTCCGTGGTCAGAGCGAGCTGCTCGCCGTGTATGTATGTGTACGTTGAATTTCTTTCGCGCCGTACGTAGTCAAATGCCTTTCAGGTGGTTGGCTCAGCCTATCGTTGAATGAGAGGAGGGCAGCGGGGGGGGGGGGGGTAATACATTGTGCTACCACTTTCTGAGAAATAAGCAAGTGGCGAGGGTATGGATGTACCGGTCCTCTCCACAAGAACGTGGAACTTCCACCAACTGGCCGCACGGAGTGCCGCCTCTTTGCATGAGCGAAGGAACACTTGGACTTTTTAGAATTTTGGTGGCAATAATCGTTACTTAATAACAAAAAAAGAAAAGCCCTCGTCTCTACCGTTGTAATCGGGCTGAGGATGTAAAAAAAATCAACAAAAAATATTCTCGAGTCAAATCTCAACTCCCCCCCCCCCCCCCCGATTCACCGAATCGTGAGCGGAGCCAATCTTGGCAGGCCGACTGTCTTCTTACTCGAGCGCCGTTGACGTCAACCGTTGAGCAAAACGAGGAAATCAAGTAAAGTGTTTCCCCTCGGTAACGAGCACGGAGCAGCGATTAACTCCACTGGTGGCCCCTGGGGTTGAGGGGGGGGGAACTCCACAATCCCACGGTTGGAGTTCGTGTATCCTATAGCGAGGGGTGCATTTAGGGTTTCAGATTTTTAAAGGCAATTTCTGATCTTTTTTTTTCTCTCTTTCTCTCCAGATTTTCAAATCGTTTAAAAAAAAAACAATAATTTGCAATCCGTTAACGTACGTTGCTTCCGTGCTCGCACAACAGTGATGTGATCCGATGCCACGTGTCACCAATTGTGTTGGGAGGTGCAGCAAGGGAGGCAATCACGTGCCATCACATTCGGATCATTCTCTAAAGATATATTACTCATCGTCCGAAGTTTCATATCTCGGAGCGATGTGCACGTATTTCTTTTGATGTATCGTAACATTCAGGGATGCGTGGCTTATATGTAACATTGCTTGACTTCACACAGTGAGAATCGATTTTATTTTTGGACATACTGTAGTGGGCTGATGATGATGAACTGAGCTTGATTGGGATTTCACCTCACGCAGCCTTCAGGCTGCAAGTCAAGTGCCGACCGGCAGCAGCACCGAGACTGGATTAAACAACGCGACAAACAAATTAATGAGGACGCGCTAGCATCACGGAACCTCTGCCCGCACCTCCGATTGGCACGGTTGGCTACGTGCGGTGCGAAAGAAGTTCAACACACACAGATTGCCCAAAAAAACGGTCCTGCACATTGATTTACCGTATTCTGCCGGTCATAGGATGCACTTCCCTCCCCCATCCCCAGTATTGTAACGCAAAAGTTGTTGGATGCGTCTCATATCGGGTCGGTGGTGTGTGTGTGTGTGTGGGGAGAGCGGTAGTGCAGCGGTTAGTGCGCTGCACTACGAACCTGGCGACCAGGGTTCGATTTCCGCTCACAGCAAACACCAGTGACGATTATCTGAACCGGTCCTGGGCCTCCCCTAGGTCGATTCAGCCGCAAATTAGTACCTGGTGCAATGTGTGAACATCTCTGCTAGTGAGACAAAGGCGGCCGGGCGTGATGTTGGCCACCCACCCCCTCGTGTGCCGTGCCGGCCTTTATAGGTGCTCGCTAACAGCACTTGTCCCTACAGTCTGTTAAGGCTATATGGGGGATCTTTGTATTTGTGTGACACCACACGTTTGTAACTTGATTGACACAAGTTCTGGGCGGGTGCGTCTTACTTTCCCGAGGCCCTTATAGCCGGGAGAATACATCAAATGGATGGTGATGGTGATGCTGAAGTGAAGTTTTGGCGTCCTCTGGTCGAGCACTAATTGAGACGAGGCTCAAAAGACAGCCGTCTCTGGTGTGGACCAATCAGTTTCAAGGACAATGCATATATTGATCAGAGTGTGTTTTTTTTGCATTTTGACCACAAGTATTGTGGTTAATGCAGACATGAATCCTTGTAAAAGTGTTTCAGTTTTGTTGCCAGAAAAAAGGGGAAAACCCCTATTATTATATTCTAGTACTGGCAACGGAGGTCTAATGATGAAGTTACCATTTAACAATATATAACATCAGACGAGGATGATTCATTTTACCTTGCGAGAGTCGTGATTCGTACCTTTATATACAAATATACATTTTCTTTTTGAGAAAGAACCCCGAGAGACGATAGCTTGCAACGGACACCTAATTAAAGTTACGGCCGTATGAGGGTTTTTTTATCCTTTATATTAAGTTCACTTGCTTGCGCTCTTACGACCGTGCAAATTTTTCGGTCGTTTTTTAACCCACTTACCGTGATCCAATCGAGCTGACATTTTGCACACAGACTCGTTGTGCGTGACAATTTATTTTCGTGAAATTTTTTTTCCAAAATTTTCCACTTTTTAGGAAAAAATAAATATATTTAATTTAAAATACCAATGTGATATAAATGAAACTCTTACTCAAGAAACACAGAAATGAATAATAAAATAAAACCGATGCCACGCATATAAAGGATTTATAGTGAAAAACTTAGTTTTTACGGGTTAATTTTTTGTGGTCGTCATTGTTATCATCGTTATATCAATCGGCACACAGTGGCCGTCTATGAACATTTCCCCCCCCCCCCATCCTTTGTCTCGAAGCGAACGCCTCGAAGCATCGCGTCCTCGCCCTCCGGCGTGCGTCTCTTGTGATCTCAAAGGGGGGAGTGGACACCTCGGTTTAATGACAGCCGTCATGTGGCCCCCTTTGCGCCCCCCACCCCAACTCCTCTCTCCGGCGTGCAGTACCGCATCGGGCAGCTCTACATGATCAGCAAGCACAGCCACGAGCAGAGCGAGAAGGGCGAGGGCGTGGAGGTGGTGCACAACAAGCCATACGAGGACCCGGTGCACGGCACGGGACAGTACACGGAGAAACGCGTTCATCTCTCCAGGTGAGTGGCGGCGGTGGGAGAGCGAACTGCGGTCGTCACGGCAGCGACGGCGGCGGCTTTTGGCCGGTCGTCGAACAAAGATGATCGCCGCGTCGAGCGCTTTCAGATGCTTTATACACTATACACTACACTATATACTACTATATACTATACACTATACATTATACACTACTATACACTACTATACACTATATACTACACTATACACTACACACGATACACTACACTATACACTACACACTATACACTACACTATATACTACTATACACTACACACTATACATTATACACTACGCTATACACTATGCTTTATACTACACTATATACTACACTATATACTACTATACACTACACACTATACTTTATACACTACGCTATACACTGTGCTTTATACTACACTATATACTACACTATATACTACTATACACTACACACTATACATTATACACTACGCTATACACTATGCTTTATACTACACTATACACTACACTATACACTACATATTGGGCTCTATGGAGGCCCGTCGTTAAGCGATGAGTCGTTAACAGCGGTGGTCTTTGAGAGGGGTTCTACTCTGCACTGCTATGCACTACAATGCACTACACTAATATACACTGCACTATACACTACAGTATACACTACACACTATAAACTACATACTATACACTACACACTATACACTACATGATACATTACTATACACTACACTATATACTAAACACAATACACTACATGATACATTACTATACACTACACTATATACTAAACACACTACACTATACACTACACGATACACCACTATACACTACACTAAACACTATACACTACGCTATACACTACACTTTTGGCGAGTCATCGAACAAATACAATCACCGCATCGCGTGCTTTTAGATGCGCTTCTGCGGCCGCCTGGAACGCTCTTCCTTCCGATATTAGGAAGCCACTGGAGCTGTGCACATTTAAAACATCATCATCTAGATTGAAAACTAATTTCTTTAGAACTGCTTTTGTATTCAGTTTGTCGTCCTCCGATGAGCACGGTTGGCTACGTCCGGCGCGAGAGAAGTCCAACATACACACGTACAGAGTACGCGTGCGTCGCGCGACCTCTCCCCCCGCATCTGTTATCGCCTCGCCCAGCCTGCTGTCCTGTCGGGACATCCCTCATCCCCGTGCCTTCACCAACAACCCCGCACTCGACCACTGCAGCTCCTTCCTCTGCCCCCTTCCCCCCACCTCCCCTAAGCGCCCATCTCCAAACCCCAGATGATCCCACAACACCTCCCCTGTAAACGAGACCAACTCATTCCGTTGCTCAGATCGCTCCGCCGACTCCCAATCGAATGCCGGATCGATTTCAAGCTCACAATCATCCGTCTTCGGAATCTTCAGTAGACTCACCTCCGCCCACATTCCCCCTCCCCCCTCCTCCTCTTCTCAGATAAATCCAATGCCCTCCCCGCCACTCGCCTACCTCTCCCCATCTCACCTCGCTCTACCCCCCCCTCCATCCAATCTCCGCTCCAGCAACCAAGGCATCTCCGTCCTCGTCTCCAGTCAACCTTCGTTGAATGAGGGGCCAACTCATTCCCCTCTGCTGCTACCCCCCCCCCCGAGGTCTGCAATGCCCAGCCATCTTTGCCATCGACTCTCAGTCCACGCTTGGGACCTTTCCCTTCTCCGCGGCCTGCGACTGGCAAAACCTCCCCAGACGCGACGCGTAACGCGCTCCGTTTCTGCGCGGTGTCTTGAGACGCCGTCGCAATTTGAGATGCCGCCGTACGAATCCACACCACCGAATCGTTTAGCGTTGTGCTTCTCCTGCTCTCCCGCTGCACGTGGCTCGACTGTCATTCCACTCCCCTGGAAGCCCCACGAGCCGCTAGACTGCTGTCTACCCTGGCTGCCGACTAATTGAGCCCAGGTGCACAGATGGGCAGTGGTGGCGGGGGGGACAGCGCAGAGCTGCACTGGTTCCATCGTCCTGAGAGCCTCGTGCTTTTGCATTCTTGACTTGATGCGTGTTCTGGGCCCATCGGCTCACTGGGCCACCTGGTTAGCTTATATTTTTTTATTCAATATTTCCACAAATGTGAGAATGGGACTGCCATGGTGTTCATGGTTCGCGCGCTGGACTTGCAATGGAAAGGGCGTCGGTTTAATTCCATTTAAACGACTGTGCACGTGTTTTTGTTATTTATCCGAACGCCTCTGTCCACACAGCTGCGTAAATGTATTCTGCACAGTTTGCTAGGTCAGCAGGTCACGTGTGGTGGGGTGTGGCTATTCCCACCTCTTCCAAGATATGCGGTCAGCGTGGAAGATTTAATTCGGCCAAATACAGGGACTCCTCTCCTTTACGAACGAGTTAGGTTCCAGAGGTCTGTTCGTCAGTCGATTTATTTGTAAGACAAACTTTATGCCTGTAGATTCCAAACACGTTGTATTGCATGTACACTAACCACAGGGGAGTGGCTTTAGACGTTGTCTAGTCTCCTGTAGATGAAGATGCCACTGGTTCTTCACGTTCTGCGGATGTAAATGCCACCACCGCCATCTATAGCGCGGCAGTTTAACTTACGACTCTCGGTCCGAAACAGACAAGTTTGTTCGTATCTCTGAAAGTTCGTAAGTCGAATGTTCGTAAGTAGAGGAACCCCGGTACTCTGTAGAGCTCCCTCTAGTAGAGGCCCTTCTGTCGGCAGTGGTGTGAGCGAGCAATTGCGGGGCTGCGCCTTCATCTTTTATTTCAACTATCGATACACGTGTACTATGGATAGCTCGATTTTAATGTGCAGTTTTGTTTATTTACTCTGTGTTGTCTTGCTGTAGTCTGGGACTGTTGTTATTGTTGTTTTGCTGCCTTGCCCAAACTTGCATGTTATTCTTGAAAAATCGGCAGGAATTGATATACCTTAGCAATTTCCACTCATATTTACTTTCTTTATAGTGACTTGCTTAACTTTCCTATACTTTGCACTCCCATCGTTTTTTTTATTGTTGTTGCAACTTGATGACCCGCTCCAAACTGGACATCTGTGAACAAGAGCTTCATTGCTTATTGTATTCCTCCTTCAGTCTAAATAGAGATTCTGATTTTTTTAAAAATCTGATGATTTCAGAGGGACGTTAGGTTCTTGTTTTTGTTTCTCGGTTACCTAGTCACATTTGTAACTCAGAAGTGACGATGTACAATACTTGCCGCTTTGTGAGCAGTTGTTGTAGTAGTCTACATGTTACATGTGGCATACGTGCGTGCACTCGAATAAAAATGGAGCGCGCCTCCAGTGAAAGTTTCTGCTTCACCAATTCGCGCTGACCAAATGTGGTGAAGTACGGTCAAACCACCGCATGAATGGGTGATTCTTTTATTCAGTGGTCGATTGACTAAAGATGTGTTCAATTATGAATGCCCTTTGGTGATTTCATCAGCAATGCGTGGGCTGGTCGAACGGAGTCGCTGAACGCGGGGCTCATTGCGCCCTTAACACATGGCAGCGCTGCTTTACAATATGCCCTACGTATGTCCGATCACAACAATGAGACTCAACGCGACATGTAAAAGGTGCCTTTATTGCGCGCAATAAGCCGCGACGGAGGCACGGAAATGAGAAAAGAATGTAGATTTTTTTTTCAATCGGTGAAGTCATACTAAGTCCCGATACTCGGGTTTCCACGAGTTCCTTGTGTATGGATTCTTGGGTCATTTCTCAAAGAGAGAGGGTCCTTGCACGAGACTATAAATCTGGTTTATAGGTCAGCAGCATTGGGGTTAAGCAAGCATGACTCTGCTGATGAGACAATGGACGACGTCCCCAGGAGTTTGCTGGAATTAAACTCGAAGCAATAATGCTGAAATTACGTATTCCCAGGTGGCCGTGCGACCAAAGGGATGTGTGAAGGTTACTCGTGCACACTATGCGCAGAGACAAAAATCAGAGGAGGATGAGGCATATTGCCACCTTAGTTATTTCGCATCAGAGTTGACGGATCGCAGGAGCGCATCTCTTCAACCCTCACCAAACCCATATGATCGGCATGAGCAGGAATTTTTCGACGTTTATATATGGAACGTGTGAAAATATATTCGCGCGCGCGCAGCCGTACGTCCTGAAATGAAGACGCGATGGTCACCCGATCTCTTTCCGACTTTACAATCGCCGTGCTCCGCCTTTGCGTCTCGAAGATGGCCAAGCAAAAGAGGCGTTTGCGGGTGAAACGGGGCATCATCTGGGACGCGGAGAAACCGCGCGCTGTCAATACCACCCCTTGCCAGGAACGTGGTGTCACGTCCTCCCACACACGCCAGCTCCGCAGGAATATTTTCGCCACGGTGGCTAGGAGATGTTAACTCCCTCGCCTGGTATGCAGGAGGTCGTGGGTTCGATCCCGACCCTGACGCCTGCTGTATATTTGGAGTTTGCATGTCTCTCTCTCTCTCATCATCATCATCACGGTGGCTCGGAGATGTCAACCACCTCGCCTGGTATACAGGAGGTCGTGGGTTCGATCCCGACCCTGACGCCTGCTGTATATTTGGAGTTTGCTTGTCTCTCTTCCCATGTATGCGTAGATTTTTCCTCCGTTTTTTTCCCACTCCACATTTAGAAACACGTGAAGTATTTGGCTGCTATACATTTCTAGATCATAAAGCCACTTTGCTGGGTTATCATTTGAAGGTCGCTTCTGAGAAAGAGCTACATTGCTCAGTCAGTCTTACCTGGTAAAGAAAAGAAAAATAGTTTACTTTAGTTTTAGACACTTGTGTAATCCACCCCCGCCAGATATTTGCGCAAAAAGTGCAGCGGCGAGGAATTGAATGTGAAATGCTTTCACGTTGCATTTTATTTCTCTCTCTCTCTCTTCCGGCGCGGTGGCAACGTGCAAACGACGACCAAGCGCCGCCTCGTTCTCGGTTCTCGGGAGGTCGGCTGGTGGGGGGGGGGGGGGGGTCGGTGCCCTGCAAGTTTCGTTTCACTGGTGGCTCGCGCGACGAAAAG